CCAAAAGCTGTTTCTCAAAAGGACAGTAGTTATCTGCAGATAATGGTAGCGCTTTACTCCAAAATACTAAGGGTCTGGGCTGTGATTTATCAATAGGGGCCTGCCAAAGATTCCAAACACTACCTCTATCTGCCACTTCAAGAACCACTGGATCAACGGGATCATATGGCACAAGTGGCAGAGCAGCTTGTGTGGCAGCCTCAACCTGTTGTGAACTAATCCTTCTCTTATTCTAGAACCCATTCAAAACTAGCAGCTTTTATAGTACCTTGACAAACAGGCCAGAGTAGCACACACAGGGACATGTTGCTTTCAAAACCCAAAGATGTTGTACCTCCTTTTTAGTTGTAGAAGGGGCCAGAAGTAACAGAATATCTTGACATGCCCCACACCACTGGACCCCAGACATATCTCTGAGGTGGAAGGTACCTGAATTTTTGTCAGATTAATTTACCACCCTCCAGCATGCAAATAAGGGAGCTCTGGTGGTGCAATAGTTAAGGCATTTGGCTGCTAACCAAATGATTGGTTGGTTGAACTCACCAGCTGCTCTACAGAAGAAAGATGAGGCATTCTGCTTCTGTAAAGATTTACAGTCTTGAAAACCCAATGGAGTTTGCTGTGAGCGGGAACTGACTCAATGGCAGTGAGTTTGGTTTTGGTTTTGAAGCATGTAAATGTCTTACCAATAAGTCTAAAGAGTTAGTATTTCTTCCTTACTATATCCATTTGCATAATGTCATCAATGTAACAGACCAGTGTGATATCTTGCACAAGGGAAAGGCAAACAAGATCCCTGTGGACTACATGACCACATAGAGAGGGAGAATTTAATTACTTCTGAGGTAGGACATCAAAGGTGTATTGTTGGATTTGACAGCTAATGGCAAACTGCTTCTGGTGTTCCTTCAAAACCAGAATTGAGAAAAAGGCATTGGCTAGATCAATAGCTGCATGCCAGGTAGCAGGAAATGAATTAATTTGCTCAAGTAATGAAACCACATCTGGAATAGCAGCTGCAAATGGTGTCACCCTTGGTTAAGTTTATAATAATCCATTATCATTCTCCAATATCCGTCTGTTTTTTGCACAGGCCAAACAGGCAAACTGAATGGAAATATAGTGGGAATCACCATACCTGCATCCTTCAAGTCCTTAATAGCAGCACTAATCTTTGCAGTCCCTCCAGGAATGCATTATTGTTTTTGGTTTACCATTTTCTTAGGTAGGGGCAGTTCTAATGGCTTCCATTAGGCTTTTCCTACCAAAACAGCCCTTACTCCACATTAGGGATTCAATGTGGGGATTCTTCCAATTGCTGAATACATCTATTGCAATTATGCATTCTGTAACCAGGAAAATCACTATGGGATGGGTTTGAGGATCACTAGATCCACTGTAAGACAGACTTGAGTTAGGATTCCATTAGTAACCTGCTCTCCATATGCCCCTACCATGGCTGATGGGCCACAGTGATATTTTGGGTCTCCTGGAATCAGTGTCAGTTCAGAGTCAGTGTCCAGTAATCCCCAAAAAGTTTGATTAATTCCTTTTCCCCAGTGAACAGTCACTTTCATAGAAGAATACATGTTTGGGGAAGACTAGGAGAAAGATTAACAGTATTTTGCAGCATAGTGGGATCCTTCCTCAAGAGGACCTGGCCAACCCTTTGTTCAAGGGATTGTGGATCTGGAAACTGGCTCAAGTCTGGGAACTGACTGAAGGACTGTGGCTCTCTATTGTGGTGATTCACATTAGACAGAAGTTCACTTGACCTAGAATTCTTCTGCTTGTACAGATCAAATAAACATTTGGTAGGTTTCCCATCTACTTCCACTCCTAGGGACATGTGACTAAGGAGCTGACATCGTAAGTCTATAGGAGTCATACTATTCTAATTACTGCTTTGACTCTGCTGTCTATTACAGCAACCAACCTACCTTGTCATTGTTGATTAAATGCCGCCATTGGCCCCTACCTTCACCGGGTCTAATAAGCTCTACTGTAATTAAACCAAATACCAAATCCATTGCTGTAGAGTCAATTTTGTCTAAAAGCAACTCTACAGGACAGAGGAAAACTGCCCCAAAGAGTTTCCAAGGCTGTAAATCTTTTATGGAAGCAGACTGTAACATCTTTCTCCTGCAGAGCAGCTGGTGTGTTTGAACTGCCAACCTCTCAGTTAGCAGCTGAGCACTTAACCACTAAGCTACCAGGCTCTTTCTATTGTAGTTAGGTGTCTTAATTCAGTTAGGGCAGTTCCCACCTTCAAATCTGCTACATAAAATAGCAGTTACAGTAGTCTTCAAGGATGCTGGGGCTCCATTCACAAATTTGTTCCTTACCTTTTTGGCAAAAGGTGTGTATTCTCTGGGTACTCCATGGGTAAGTGGGTCTGTGGGTCTAACCTGATAAATCCACTCTAATATGCCAATTTTTCTAAGCTTTAGGATACCTTCTATGGTATATCAAGGGAGGTCTGGCATTTCAACTTGATTTAATGTAGGCTACCACTTTATCCACATTTTAGTGAACCAACCAAATGCACTATGAGATTCTTTTCTAACCTCTTGAGTTGAAACACTGAATGAAGAATCTGTGCTTAGTTTGCCCATATCAGTAAATTCAGATTGATCTACCTTTATGTTCCTTGCATCATTATCCCACACCCTTAACAGCCATTCCCACACATATCCCCAGGTTTCTGTTTGTATATATTAGAAAAATCAAGCAGTTCTTTCACAGTGTAGTATGACTTTTAGTGTGTAACCCACCTGGGCCACATTTTATACTTCAGCTCTTGGGGCCTGCTGGGACTTAAGTCTAGTTATAGGTCTAGAAGCAAAAATGAGTGGTGGGAGTGGGTCCTGGGGCCACTCAACAATGTCTTGTAAACCATTTGCCTCAAATACTCTCCAGGCACAGCTAGATTAATCTCATCAGATGGAGGTGGAAGAGATAACAGTTTTACTGGGGAGAGTGGCTTAGCAGACAAAAATGGAGTAATCATTTCAAATGGGAGTAAGAGGATAGAGTTCTGTTGGCAGGAGTGATTCAACAAAATATAGAGGCACAATATTCCTAGCTTCCTGATTATCTGCCCATATGTCTACATACCAAGTTCAAGGTCCCATTTCTTCCCAATCATTGCTCCTACTTCAACTTCAGACATCATTTGATGTTGGGAATTCAATTGGTATTGTTAATTCAGCAACTCTTACAATAAGGCTTTGGGTTTGGTCTTCAGCAACATCAGCTCTGTTACTATAAGAAATAAAGCTTTCTTTCAGGGTATAAGTGGCAACTTTCAGGTCTTGTATGTGGTGCTTGAGCTGGACTTTGAAGCTTTGAGCTCAACCTTTTTTTTTTTTCTTTTCTTTCCACAACTTTATCTAGAGACAGTAAGACCAACAAACCATATTCCTTATACTTATTCTGGCAAAATGGTAGCAAAGTATCAAATATACAATAACCTAGAGCCTTGTCTCTCATAAATATTTGATCCAAAGGCGGTGATAACTTGCATATTTCTATTATCACCTGCAAAAAGGTGTGGATGCAGTGCCTGACTTCCTCTAACTTCACAAGGGAAAGAATCACCATCAACATCAACAGCCCACGGCTGATTTCTATGAGGTGGAAGTCAGGCATGCCACCACTCTCCAACCTTTTTACCAATTCTGCACCACTGTCTCTCCCATGGTACTCTCTACTTCTCTGCTGTGTTCAAAATTCATTTCAATGGTCACACAGAACTCACAGACAATACTCACAATTGTGGGGTTTATTAGGGAAGCAACAGGTTACAATTCAGGTTCAAGAATGCTCAGGATACAATTCTTAGATCAGGACAGCCTCCCCTTGGCCCTTGGCCTCTTGGCCTCCGCTGCCAGGGTCTACTGCCATTGCTTCTCACTGTCTCTTGCCATCTCAGCAAAATGGTATAGTTCTCTCTCTGTCTCCTGGATCAAAGAGATTCAGTGCAGGGATCTTGGGTCCAAAGGATGCCCTCCACTCCTAGCTCTTCTTTCTTGATAGTAGTGAGATTCCCCTTTCTGCCTCTGAGATGGTTCATTTTAAGCCTAGAGAGATGGCAAAACTGACCAATTCCCACATTAGGGTTCCATATACCTTATTTGTATAGCCCCACCCCTACAAGGGTGCCATGTACCTTACTTATATCACCAGCAATCTATCTAATCTCCTTGGTGGGCCACAAACATCACACATTTGCATAGTCCCACCCACCCATCTGGTAGGAGTCACAAAAACCATGACTAGAAGCGTTATATTAAGTAATTCACTGCACTGCATCACCTCATGCCATTGATTGGCAGTGCCAGTGCCCTTATCTCCACTGGAGGCAGAATCATCAGCACCTTTAAGACTAGCCACACTTGAAAATCAATTCATAAAATTCAACCTTATGCTTTTGTTCCTCTAGAACCACTCTCGGTACCAAATGTCTTAGGTGGGGTTCTCTAGAGGACAGCAAAACCAGTGCAGCATGCATATATGTATAAATATACATGTTGAGAGAATTATTTTGAAGAAATGGCCAGTTGTGGAGGCTGGCATATCCTAAACCCATGAGTTAAACATCAGGCCGGAAGTGTCTCCTGTCTCACATGGTTGCAGGAACTGATGAACCTAAAATCAGCAGGTCAAATGGCAGGTTGTTGACTCAGGGGACTGTGGGAACTTGCAAATCCCAAAATCTGCAGGTCAGGTGGTAGGCTGCTGCCTCATGTTCCAAGAAACATGTCAAATGATGATGAGTAGATGCAAGACAGAGATAGCTTTGCCAGAACATCCATATATATTAGATGCAGGCCACACCCCAAAGAAACTCCTCTTTCAACTGACTGATTGCTCACATCAGATTACAAAATGGAGGATGATTACATAATAGTATCTGCCAAACCACTAAGACTCATGGCCTGGATAAGTTGATACACAACCTTAACCATCACAATCATACAAGATTGAAATATACATACGAAGCTTTCGATCCATTTCTTCACATCTTCTAACTTCATTCACAAATTTCCGCTGGAAAACATTCACATCTGGATTTAACTGAAAAACAGGAATACAATACCAGACAAACATTAAAACACTACATACATTCCCTATGTTTTACAAACAACATATCTACCAAGTGAAAACCTTATTTTGTTTCAATGTAGGATGCAACACTCAAAACTGCCTGCTGAATTATATAAACTGCTCTGGAGCTAGTCACACCAACTAAAAATAAAAACCACCTCTTTCACTGTTGCAACAATTATTAAAATGGAAGCAAATTAGGTACTGTGGTGGTACAAAATGTTTTTCCCAGACCAAAAGTCTCAATGACCTTCCAGTTCCACCATCTAAAATTGGGGCATTGGAAACAACAGAAGCATCTGTTTTTTTCTCTCTCTTTCTTCTCAAGCAGAAGACACAGAAGACCAACTTCTCTTGTTCTTCTGTTCCAGCGTCTTCACCTTTAGGGTGACAAGCTGACTTATTCATTCATACACAAGTAGTATTTAAAATAATGTGATACACATTCTGAGAAATACAAATAAAACAAGTTTCTCCACATTAAGAAGCTTGCAATCTAGTAGAGAAAAAAGATTAATACAACCAGGAAGAGAGTATGTGATAAATTCCATAAAGACATGCAAATAAAGAACTACAGTTACGTGCTCTACACTTACGGAGCACCAAGTATGTGCCAGATACTGCAGTAGGCATCAAGGCAAATGTAAAAACTAAGATATGTCCTAGCCTTTTTTTTTTCCTTCTTCTTCAATTTTTATTGCAATTTAGGTGAAAATTTACAGAGCAAATTCATCTTCCATACAGCAGTTCACATACACCTTGTCTCACGACACTGACTGCACAGTATAACAGCTCCCTTCCCACTTCTTCCTCATAGTTACCTCTTCCCTGTGTCCTTCCTTCCCAGGCACTCCTGCCCCTTGGGCTGTCTCCCTGTGTATACACAGCCCTTCTATTCTCACATGATTTCTCTCTCCAAGGAGTACATCTACCTAGTGTAAATGTTCACACCATATGCCTGTCTTTCATTTGGCTGGAAGCCACAGGAGTGGGTTCAATTCCAGACCTGAAGGGCAGTTAGGGGCCATAGTCTCAGGGGTTCCACTAGGGTCTATCTGACCAGTAAACCTGGTCCCCCCCCCCTTTTTTTTTAAGATTTTGAGTTTTGTACCACATTGTTCTCCTACCCTATACAGGATCTCCTACACAGATCCCCCTCCGAGTGGTAGACAGTGGTAGCGGGGCACCATCTACTTCTTCTCTTATAGTCGTATAGGCTGTGGATCACATGGTGTACCTATGTCCTAACTTTGGGAAGCTATCAATTCTACAAGAGAGACAGACATAATCCAGTAATTAAAATGTTGTGATAAATACTACTAAAATTAAATGATTTAGAAAACTGCTGGCAGTTTCAATAAGGTTAAGCATACCACTACCTACCCCACGACCAAACATTCCACTACCAGATGTTACTTAAAAGAAATGAAAACATGTCCACAAAAAGACTTATACAAGATTCTGTAGCTCATTTCTCATCCAAATAACAGACAGGCCTACGAGCTGACCAACTATACCAGCAAGATGCACTCCTTAGAACAGGCAATCATGGGAGATCAGAAGGGCAGCATTACACAGGGAGAAAGCTAGCCAGGCAGGAATGCATAAGTAAGAAGGACACAGGGAAAAAGTAACCACAGGGAGGAGGTGGGAGGAGAGTTATTACATTGTGGGTACTGTAATCAGTGTTGCGAAACAAAATGTGTATAAACCGCTGAATGTAAAACGAAATCTGCTTTGTAAAACTGCACCCAAATCACAATGAAAAGGAAAAAAAAAAAAAGATTTGTACAAGAATGTTTATAGCAGCTTTAGTCACAGAAGCCTGAAACTAAGAATGACACAAATGCCCATCAATAGGAGAATGGATAAAGACATTGTGGTATACCTCATGGTTCAATTTACAGCCAAACAATAGATGAGCCTTTAAGGTGAATGGTAATAATACCAGGGAAATAAGCACTCCTTAGAGCAATCAACCATACAAGATCAGAAGGGCAGCAATTGCCCAGGAGGAAAGCTCAGAAGGCAACAAGGGATAGGAAAAAAAGATGAATGGAAATGGTAAACACAGGGAGGAAATAGGAAGAATGTGGTTACACTGTGGGGATTGCAATCAATGTCATAAAACAAAATGAATATGAATTGTTGAATGGAAAGCCAATTTGTTCTGTAATCTTTCATCCAAATGACAATCAAAGTTAAAAAAAAGAGAGATTGTGGCACATTCAGACAATGGAGGACTACTCAGCAATAAAAGAACCAACACACGAAAACATTTCTACATCTAACTTCGGTGAGTAGTGATTGGGGTCTTAAAAGCTTGCAAGTGGCCACCTAAGATGCAACAATCAGTCTCTTCTCATCCAGAGCAAAGAAGAGTAAAGAAAATCAAAGATCCAAACAACTATGGACCATGGCAACTTCAGCCCTTACGACCCTGAGACCAGAAGAACTAGATGGTGCCTGCCAGCAACTCAGAAAAGGATCAAAATTGGAGATACTGGATAGTGTGGGAGAAAAATGTGGAACAAAACTCAAAAACAGAAAAAAATCAGGCTTATTGGTCTGACACAGACTGGTGAAACCAGGACTTATGGCCCCAAGTCACCCTTCGGGCCCATAATTGAACTCACTCCTGTGAGTTAACTTCCAGCCAAACAGTAGACAGGCCTGTGAGGTAAATAATTACATCAGGGAGGCACACTCCTTAGAACAATCAGCCACAGGAGATCAGAAGGGCAGCATTTGCACAAGAAGATAGCTCAGAGGACAGGAATCGCCAGGAAAGAAGGACACAGGGAAAAGGTAATGATAGGGAGGAAGTGAGAAGACAGCTGTTACAATTTGGGGATCACAATCAATGTCTTGAAACAAAATGTGTATAAACTGTTGAATGGAAAATGAATTTGATCTGTTAATTTTCACCCAAAAAAAAACTACTGGTACACACAATAACATAGATTAATCTAAAAAAAAATTAGGTTGAACGAAAGATGACATAAGAATCCTAAGAATATGATTCCATTTATATAAATTTCAAGAGCTGGCAAAACTATTCTATGAAATAAGAACAGGGGTTATCTATAGGGGATGGACATTGAACAGAAATGGGCACAAGACAGCTTTCTGTCCAGATGGAAATGTTCTACAGATGTTCTATAAATGTTGTAACATCTTGATTAGAGTGGTATTACAGAGGTGCATACATTTATCAAAATAATCAAACTGTACTCTTAAGGTCTGTGCATTTCACTGAATACAAATTTCACCTTCCTTAAAAAAAAGTAGGTTAAAAAAGAAATGAACACACGAGGAATGACTTACTCTATTTGGGGGGAAATGAGAAACATTTTACAAAGTTAACACCTGACCTCCTCCTCCTCTGGTAGCATAGTGCCTAAGGCACTAGACTGCTAATCAGAAGGCTGGCGGTTCAAACCCACCAGCCACTCCTCGGAAAGAAGGTTGGGCAATCTACTTCCGTAGTGATACTCGAAAACCCAAGGAGGGGTCACTGTGAGTCGGGTCCAACTCGACAGCACATAACCATAACAACACCACCACCTGACCTGGGCATTGAGGGGGTCAGGTGGAGTTCACCAAGCAGAGAAGAGCAGAAGGGAAGCAGAAAGATCATGCCAAAAGACTCAGAGACATAAATCAATCAGATTTGGTCCCAGGAGAGAAAAGAGGAGCTAATGTGATGAGCAGGATGTAGCAGAAGACTTTGTCCTAGGGTAACTAGGAATTAAGTGATCTCATTTCTTTTTATTTTTTTTTAAGCTTTACTATTTTGAATAATAATCGAGTGTGAAAAATGAACTGTAAGAGGGAGAGATTAGTGACAGAGGAACTAATAAGGTAATTATTTATATTATTTTATCAATATTAGACAAAGGGAATTAAGCAAATCACCACATAATAAGAACAACTCCCAGGAAGACAGAACAATTCTAAACTTGTTGCTGTTAAGTGCTGTCAAGTCGGTTCTGACTCATAGCGACCCTATGTACAACAGAACAAAACACTGCCCAGTCTTGCACAACTCTCACAATCCTTGCTACATTTGGGTCCGTTGTTGCAACCACTGTGTCAATCCATCTTGTTGAGCGTCTTCTACTTTTTCACTGACCCTCTACATTATCAAGCATGTCCTCCAAGAACTGGCCCTTCCTGATAACATATCCAAAGTACATAAGACAAAATCTTGCTATCCTTGCTTCCAAGGAGCATTCTGACTGAACTTCTTCCAAGACAGATTTGTTAGCTCTTCTGGCAGTCCATGGCTTATTTTAAATCCTCTGCCAACACCACAATTCAAAGGCATCAATCCTTTTTCCATCTTCCTTATTCACTTCAAGCTTTCGTATGCATATGAGATGAATGAAAATACCATGGCTTGTGCCAAGTGCACCTTAGTCTTTAAAGAGACATCTTTGCTCTTCAGCACTCTAAAGAGGTCTTTTGCAGCAGATTTGCCCAATGGAATAAATCCTCTGATTTCTTGACTGCTGCTTTCATTGGTGTTGATTGTAGAACCAAGTAAAATGAAATCTTTAACAACTTCAATCTTTTCTCCATTTATTGTGATGCTACTTATTGGTCTAGTTGTGAGGATTTTCATTTTCTTTATGTTGAGGTGTAATTCATATTGCAGACTGTAGTCTTTAATCTTTTTCAGTTAGTGCTTCAAGTCATCTTCACTTTCAGCAAGCAAGGTTCTGTTGTCTGCATATCCCAGGTTGTTAATGAGTCTTCCTCCTATCCTGATGGCACATTCTTCTTCATACAGTGCAGCTTCCTGTGTTATTTGCTCAGTATACAGATTGAATAAGTATGGTGAAAGGATACAACCCTGACGCACTCCTTTCCTGATTTTAAACCATGCAGTATCCCCTTTTCTGTTCGAATGACAGTCTCCTGGTCTATATATAGGTTCTTCATGAGTACAATTAAGTGTTCTGGAA